TCAGGGCAGGGCTGTGGAACGGACAGGTAGGCCTAGTGGCAGGGTAACGCACTGGCTGACGACAACCACCACCAACAGACTGAAGTCCCTCAGGGCGCGGAGTCTAAGTCCCAGGCTGCCCTTCACCAGGGCCCCTGATGGTGGGGATGGACTTGACGCAACCAGGGACCAGGTCGCGGCCCCCGAGACACCCCAGCTGCAGTAATGGCCGCCGCCAATGGCGTGTAGCTGGTGAGAATGACAATAGCGTAGTCAGACAAGCCGGGTCAATAACAACGGGACAAAACAGTACAGAACAGTAGACAGAGAATCACAGGTCACGGGCCGGGTTCAGCAACGGAAGGTCAGATCAAAGGGAAACACAGAGAATGGTCTTAGTACAAGCCGAGTCAGAATACCAGAAGAGTCACGAGCGTATACACAGAGCTGTAGCAAGACAAAGACACAAGACACAAGTGCAAAGAGCATGTGCAAATCCCAGGCTTATATGTACTCAGCCACACCCCTCTGGGGGATGGACCTCAGAGACCTGAAGGCATAAAAGATTCCCATCATGCTCAGCAGAAATCCAAGATGGATGCTAGCACATGGAGTAACAAAACCTCTGGGAAAAGGTAGGACCTTGACAATGAGACATACTTGTGAGGTTATGCGCATATGTTTGTCGGTACACAGGGATATATGCACGTGGTTAAAGTATATTACAGAAATGTATAAATGCAGGAAAACTGCATTTGACTCATACCGTTGGAAGAACTCATAACACCAAAATACCCGCTAAAACACATTATAAGAATGTATGGACACTTGGGACTATTACATTATTATTTAGATTGCGTGTTTGTTTAAGCTCATTATATGATTACAACTCATACTAAAACACATATTTTCAAGAATATATGGACACCTGGGACATTTATGTTCATTATTTAATTTCTTCACTGTGAATTGTATGTTTTATTCTGTGAATGTATGTGAATTGTTTGTTTTATTAGAGTATGATATGTCTATTACAAGTTATAGGTTATAGTATTTGTACTTCTCAGCACTTCGTTTCATATATATATGTGAAACTCGAAAAATTTGAATATCGTGCAAAAGCTAATTTATTTCAATATGCAACTTAAAAGGTGAAATGAATGTATGAGAGACTCATTACATGCAAAGCAAGATAGTTCAAGCTCTGATTTGTCATAATTGTGATGATTATGCCTTACAGCTCATGCAAACCCCAAATCCACAATCTCATAAAATTAGAATATTGTGAAAAGGTGCAATATTCTAGGCTCAAAGTGTCCCACTCTAATCAGCTAATTAAGCCATAACACCTGAGCCTTTAAAGGGTCTTTCAGTCTGGTTCAGTAGGAATCACAATCATGGGAAAGACTGCTGACCTGACAGTTGTGCAGAAAACCATCATTGACACCCTCCATAAGGAGGGAAAGCCTCAAAAGGTAATTGCAAAAGAAGCTGGATGTTCCCAAAGTACTATATCAAAGCACAAGTTATGTGGAAGGGAAAATTGTGAAGAAAAAGGTGCACAAGCAGCAGGGATGACCTCAGCCTGGAGAGGATTGTCAGGAAAAGGCCATTCAAAAGTGTTGGGGACTTTCACAAGGAGTGGACTGAGGCTGGAGTCATTGCATCAAGAGCCACCACACACAGACGGATCCTGGACATGGGCTTCAAATGTCGTATTCCTCTTGTCAAGCCACTCCTGAACAACAAACAATGTCAGAAGCGTCTTACCTGGGCTAAAGAAAAACAGACGTGGTCTGTTGCTCATTGGTCCAAAGTCCTCTTTTCTGATGAGAGCAACTTTTGCATCTCATTTGGAAACCAAGGACCCAGAGTATGGAGGAAGAATGGAAAGGCACACACTGCAAGATGCTTGAAGTCCAGTGTGAAGTTTCCACAGTCTGTGTTGATTTGGGGAGCCATGTCATCTGCTAGTGTTGGTCCACTGTGCTTCATTAAGTCCAGGGTCAACGCAGCCGTCTACCAGGAGATTTTGGAGCACTTCATGCTTCCTTCCACAGACGAGCTTTATGGGGATGCTGACTTAATTTTCCAGCAGGACTTGGCACCTGCCCACACTGCCAAAAGCACCAAAACCTGGTTCAATGACAGTGGGATTACTGTGCTTGCTTGACCAGCAAACTCGCCTGACCTGAACCCCATAGAGAATCTATGGGGCATTGCCAAGAGAAAGATGAGAGACATGAGACAAAACAATGCAGAAGAGCTGAAGGCTGCTATTGAAGCATCCTGGTCTTCCATAACACCTCAACAGGGCCACAGGCTGATGGCTTCCATGCCACGCCGCATTGAGGCAGTAATTGCTGCAAAAGGGGCCCAAACCAAGTACTGAGTACATATGCATGCTTATACTTTTCAGAGGTCCGATATTGTTCTATGTACAATCCTTGTTTTATTGACTGCATGTAATATCTATTTTTCTGAGATTGTGGATTTGGGGTTTTCGTGAGCTGTAAGCCATAATCATCACAATTATGACAAATCACGGCTTGAACTACCTTGCTTTACATGTAATGAGTCTATCTCATATGTTAGTTTCACCTTTTAAGTTGTATTACTGAAATAAAAGAACTTTTGCACGATATTCAAATTTTTGTGTGTGTTCACCTGTGTGTGTGTGTGTATGTGTGTATATATATATATATATATATATATATATATATAATAAATAAATACACACTTTTACTTTTGTAGTTTATTAGTGGGAACACAAGTGGTGTAGGCAGCAGTATTGATACTAGTCCATTATATATAAACACTGACCTCTAAAGCGTTCTTTTTTTTCTATTTTTTTAAATGTGTTTTTTTTTTTCACTTAAAGTTTGCTTTGTATACATTTAGGGTCCTTTTGAGTTATTACCCTTATTGACTGAGCTGAAGTTTCTCCTGTTTTCACACTACTTAGTATGCTTACAATTAGAATTAACATTTGATATTAGGTTCCCCTTTAAAGTAGAATTTCAGCTAAAGCCTAACTAGTATTAAAAATGTTCTCTCCTCTCTTAACAACTGCTATACTAACTAACCTGTGTAAAAAAGATGTATACAGTATACTTACCTATTTACCAGGCCGGTCACATGATCATTTGTGTGACAGTCAGCAGCAGCTGCAGGGTTATGAAGAGAGTGCCTGACAATAACTGCAAAAGCCAGGGGCAATGACATCACCAATAAACTCCCATAGTGCAGCTATTGTCGGTGGTCCCTCTTCTTCCCTGCAGCTGCCTCTGGCTGACATAGGGGAGCTGGGTAACGTGAACAGACCAGAGTGGGCTGAAAATAAGTAAGTATATACATCTTTTTTTACACAGTTTAGTTAGCACTGATATTAGGAAGGGTGGGGAGACATTTTTAAGACTAGGCTCTAGATGGGATTCTACTTTAATTAATTTAAAAAAAAATAAGAAAATCATTAGTAGTCAGAACAGTGACTTATGCATTCTTTTCAGTCCCTGAATTACTCTAAACATGTCCCCATATTCTGTAGCCTGGAGAATCACCATCCTAATGCTCAATCACATCAAGACTGGCACTGCTAGCACAGGTGGATGGAACACTTGGCCGAGTTACCGCTTCCAACACCACATTCTTTTGCACCAGAGAACATCCAATAATGGCCATTTTGTGTAACTGCTGTTGAAATAAATATTTAGCTGAAATTTTACCTACACTTATTGCATATATTATTCATTCTGTAAGAATATAGGGTGGTTAGTAATGCTTTGCACTTTTTTTTTTGCACTTCTCCATAGAATAACACAATTAATGAGACATCACTTAACCTTTATCCCTCTCCATCACGATCTCACAGTGCATGTGCAGCTCAATTGCCAGTATACGATCTCTTTACAGTTACAGCGTATGTTAGGATGTGATCACATCTCATGCATTAATAGCTCAGAAGAGTGTGAATTCAGCACCTGAAAAAATATACAGAATAGATTGCTACAGTCTATGATTAATGTATTGCCTTTAGAAAATTAAGCGTTTGAAGGAATTTGTACAGCAGCCTTCGTGTTGAGACTTGTAGGAACTGGCCTCGTTCAAGAAAACATCTACCAAGATTAATAATTCTGAATTTACAGACAAAGAAAACATTGTTACATGCATTGTGTCTGATGTATAGATAATCCCAGTGGGGTTGCACTCAGGGTCACTGATCCCTAATTTTGTGCTTACAGCACTTGGTGATGTCTGAGAAAGACCCGTGTGGCCTGATTCATAAAAGGCTTCCTAATAGAGATTCTAAATTTGACTTTTCCTTAAAGGTACACTAGCTACAAACCTTCTTTTGCTTACAGAATAGCTCAGCTAAGAGGCATTTGTAGCTGCACTGGTGTATTTGAGAAGGAAGAAAATGTTTCCATGAAATAGCCCTTTGTGCCAGGCCTCCAGTAGTCAGATACTCATAAAGGAATTTAGAAAATGAGGACATGTGTGGTGTGGATGGTCCTCCTATTCAATTTCAGAACTAGAAACAAAAGGTTAATTTTCCTTATTAAAGTGTATGGAAACCCTAATATTTAACTCTTCTTATGTGCTCCCCTTTGGTCTGTTAAATATTGCATTCAAATAGTTCAATAAGTCTCAAAATATCTGTTGATCCTGCCAGAAATGTTGTGCACTAAGAACTTCTCGAGCTCTCTGCTGGCTTTTATCATTAGTATTGTCCCAAGGTATCTCTATAGACCTTAGAATACCTCAGTGGGAATTATAGAAAAGAGGAGAGGGTTTTTTTTTTTCCTAGTCTTCTCCCAGGGTGACAATGCTGGTCCTTTGTAGATATGGTATTGTGAGTGCTGTCACCCTAGGACAGGAAGTGTGTTACAGGCAGAATACCCAGATTAAAATAAAAAAGAATCTGGTAAGATGGTAAGATGCAATATATTAATTTTGTGTTCTTGGGTTTAGAGATTCTTTAACCTCCCTGGCGGTATTCCAGAGTGTAGCTCGGGGTAAAGTTTCAGTACCAAAAGCGGTAATCCCCGAGCTACACTCGGGCTTACCATGCAGCGTTGGTCAGGGATTCCCTGCAGCGCTTACCTTGTCCTTCGTTCCCGCGATGCGTCCCGTGCAGCGTCCCCAGCCATCTCCTCCAGGCCGATGCCGGCATCCAGCTTCCGTGTTCCGGTCCCTGTGATGTCGGGATGTACGGGGGCCAGAACCAGCGGCAAATTTAAAAATTTTAGAAACTGTCATTTTCTAATAAACGAATTTGACATAGTAAAATTATTACTGTTTCAAACCATTTCACATACATTTTGTCCCTACTGCTTTTTCCTGTGCCCTGCCTGCATTTTGACTAATTCTTTCTGCCTGGAAACTTAGAAAAGTCCATGGCGTCCAAAAAGCGTCCCTTTAGGTCAAAAGTGGTTTTAGACCGGCTAGAGAACAGCGATAGTAAATCAGAACCAATTGCAGAATTGAGTGATAATGATTCGTGGGGAAATTTGTCATCAGACACTGAAAACGATTTTGCAACTTTGCTCAGCGATGTGCGAATTTGGGCTATATTTCAAATTTCAGTCTTTTTTGTTTGATTATATTATTGAATTAAATTTATTATTATTATATTATTATTTTTATGATTATTTATTAAATTATATTTTATGATTTTGTGTTTCAAGTTTTATCATACCCGGAATGTTTACTAGACTCTTGTTTGGACAGATTTCAGTGAGTTATTCCTACAAATTACAGGCCTACAATAAAAAAAATACATATTTCCATGCAAAAAAATTTACCGCTTTGAGCACAGAAATATGGACATAATCAGACCTCTAGGGAGGTTAATTTAGTAGAATATATAAGGTGAACGCAACTTAATATTACATTATCTGTATACCTGATGCACAGATTTTGGGAAGGTGACAGACTAATGTTGACCAGCTTTAGGGCTGTTTCAGTGGGCCATTCCTTGTTTCAAGTGGGTTTTTCTTTTCCTTATACTGTATGTCTATGGGAATGCCGAATCCTCTGCATACAGGTCAGAAGAAAGTCAGTTGTAGGTCAAATGCATCTAATAGTGAATTCTGAATTATCTCAGAAGCATCTCAAATAGATATCATACAGTCAGGTCCATAAATATTGGGACATCGACACAATTCTAACATTTTTGGCTCTATACACCACCACAATGGATTTGAAATGAAACGAACAAGATGTGCTTTAACTGCAGACTGTCAGCTTTAATTTGAGGGTATTTACATGTGCATAAAATTACATTCCACTTCTTTCCAAAAGTAATGGGACTTAAAAAATCTCTTTTTAATACTTGGTTGCTTTTGCAGTCAATGCTTTGGCATTGTCCATCTGGGTACATGTGAAGCGGCGTCCAATGCTTGTTCTGAAGCATTTTCCCTTCAGGTCTGAAAATGCAGCTCATATTCATAGGTTTGACCGATAACACTTCAGAAAACTTCATATGCCATTGTCTGCACTTCCAATGAGTTCTGTCAGCAGTCACATCATCATCAATAAATACAAGAGAACCAGTTCCATTGGCAGCCATACATGCCCACGCCATGACACTACCATCACCATGCTTCACTGATGAGGTGGTATGCTTAGGATCATGAGCAGTTCCTTTCCTTCTCCATACTCTTCTCTTCCCATCACTCTAGTACAAGTTGATGTTGGTCTCATCTGTCCATAGGATGTTGTTCCAGAACTGTGAAGGCTTTTTTAGATGTCGTTTGGCAAACTCTAATCTGGCCTTCCTGTTTTTGAGGCTCACCAATGGTTTCCATCTTGTGGTGAACCCTCTGTATTCACTCTGGTGAAGTCTTCTCTTGATTGGTGACTTTGACACACATACACCTACCTCCTGGAGAGTGTTCTTGATCCGGCCAACTGTTGTGAAGGGTGTTTTCTTCACCAGGGAAAGAATTCTTCGGTCATCCACCACAGTTGTTTTCCGTGGTCTTCCTGGTCTTTTGGTGTTGCTGAGCTCACCGGTGCGTTCCTTCTTTTTAAGAATGTTCCAAACAGTTGTTTTGGCCATGCCTAATGTTTTTGCTATCTCTCTGATGGGTTTGTTTTGTTTTTTCAGCCTAATGATGGCTTGCTTCACTGATAGTGACAGCTCTTTGGATCTCATCTTGAGAGTTGAAAGCAACAGATTCCAAATGCAAATAGCACACTTGAAATGAACTCTGGACCTTTTATCTTCTCATTGTAATTGGGATAATGAGGGAATAACACACACCTGGCCATGGAACAGCTGAGAAGCCAATTGTCCCATTACTTTTGGTCCCTTAACAAGTGAGAGGCACATATGCAAACTATCGTAATTCCTACACCGTTCACCTGATTTGGATGTAAATACCCTCAAATTAAAGTTGACAGTCTGCAGTTAAAGCAAATCTTGTTCATTTCATTTCAAATCCATTGTGGTGGTGTATAGAGCCAAAAATGTTAGAATTGTGTCGATGTCCCAATATTTATGGACCTGACTGTATATACAAGCCCAAATCCCAGACATTAAATGGTTTAGACCAGGGGTGTCCATCTTTTGACCTTCTGGTCACATTGGAAGAAGAGAAATTGTCTTGGGCCGCACATAGAATACACTAACAATAAGGATAGCTGATGAGCTGTTCCTCCTGCGGCTCTCAGTGAATGTGATGCAGACAAAATGCATGCAGCAGTGATCAATGCAAGTATTCGCTGGCTGTGTAGAGAGCCGCAAATAGGTATGGCTGCAGGCAAACTGTCATTATAGTGAATGGGGCAGCAGCCACACACACCCGCTGAGAGCTGCAGGAAGAACCGGCAAGAAGAACAATTCGCACAGGCCCACTTCACCGATGTGAATGTAGCCTGTGTATGTGCTGTGTGGGCAAATGTGTGTTTGTGGGGGGTGTAGGGAGGGGTTATTCAGAAGAGCACAAGTTAAATCTGATATCCCCAGCACCCCTCTAGATCCAGCCATGTAGCAGTTACTTACCTGGTGCCCCTGCATTCCCTACTGCCTGTGCTATTGCAAACATGGCAGCCCTGCCATCATTATAGATGTGCATTTGCCTGGCTTGTTAGTGTAGGTTGCAATGGCTGCTATGTTTGCATGGCGTCCCTACAGATGTGCATGGGCTGGGCTAGTCTGTATGGTTCGCCATGGCTATTGTGCTTGCACAGCATCACCAGCATCCCTCCAGATGTGCGCTGGTCGCATGTTAATCTCTCTGGAGCAGTGGATTGGATACCCTTGGTTTAAAGCATGACCACAATAGGGTCCTCACTCATCAGTGCCACACATACAGGTGAAACTCGAAAAATTTGAATATCGTGCAAAAGTTCATTTATTTTAGTAATGCAACTTAAAAGGTGAAACTAATATATGAGATAGACTCATTACATGCAAAGCAAGATAGTTCAGGCCGTGATTTGTCATAATTGTGATGATTATGGCTTACAGCTCATGAAAACCCCAAATCCACAATCTCAGAAAATTAGAATATTGTGAAAAGGTGCAACATTCTAGGCTCAAAGTGTCCCAATCTAATCAGCTAATTAAGCCATAACACCTGCAAAGGGTTCCTGATCCTTTAAATGGTCTCTCAGTCTGGTTCAGTAGGAATCACAATCATGGGAGACTGCTGACTTGACAGTTGTGCAGGAAACCATCATTGACACCCTCCATAAGGAGGAATAGCCTCAAAAGGTAATTGCAAAAGAAGTTGGATGTTCACAAAGTGCACAAACAGCAGGGATGACTGCAGCCTGGAGAGGATTGTCAGGAAAAGGCCATTCAAAAGTGTTGGGGACTTTCAAAAGGAGTGGACTGAGGCTGGAGTCAGAGCATCAAGAGCCACCACACACAGACGGATCCTGGACATGGGCTTCAAATGTCGTATTCCTCTTGTTAAGCCACTCCTGAACAACAAACAACGTCAGAAGCTTCTTACCTGGGCTAAAGAAAATCAGACCTGGTCTGTTGCTCAGTGGTCCAAAGTCCTCTTTTCTGATGAGAGCAACTTTTGCATCTCATTTGGAAACCAAGGACCCAGAGTATGGAGGAAGAATGGAGAGGCACACAATGCAAGATGCTTGAAGTCCAGTGTGAAGTTTCCACAGTCTGTGTTGATTTGGGGAGCCATGTCATCTGCTGGTGTTGGTCCACTGTGCTTCATTAAGCCGAGGGTCAATGCAGCCGTCTACTACCAGGAGATTTTGGAGTACTTCATGCTTCCTTCCGCAGACGAGCTTTATGGGGATGCTGACTTAATTTTCCAGCAGGACTTGGCACCTGCCCACACTGCCAAAAGCACCAAAATCTGATTCAATGACAGTGGGATTACTGTGTTTGATTGGCCAGCAAACTCGCCTGACCTGAACCCCATAGAGAACCTATGGGGCATTGCCAAGAGAAAGATGAGAGACATGAGACCGAACAATGCAGAAGAGCTGAAGGCCACTATTGAAGCATCCTGGTCTTCCATAACACCTCAGCAGTGCCAGTGAGGAGGGGCCAGGACATTGTGATGCTACGCCACCGGAGCCACGTGGAGGCCTGGTGGCCATCTTTGTTTACCGAAGGGTTAGTTTCATTTCTACACCCTTTGCTGCTGTTTTAAGTTTACTTTGTTTGCAAACATCTTCTTATTTAAATAACTTCATAATCTTCAATACTACACTATGGGCATCCTTCTATGACTCCTTGAGAGGAGTATTTATTCACAGAGCCAAGTGTTATGATCCAGTTGCCTTACCAAGAGGAGGAAGACATCCTGTAAGCAGGCAGCTCCTTCTATCCATCCCCTAATAGGGACCTCTGGTTACCTGGATCCGAATAATTCCGTTCTTGGGCATTTGATGATTACTACCTTGAGGGAGGATTACCTAACCTGACCTATATCTGATGAAACCTCTGGATGTGATATATAACGCGTATAATCATTATACTTCTGGTGAGTGCATAATTCTGCCATTTCTCACAGAGCACCACCATTGAAGTTATCAGTCACCTGGCACTCTATAATTACACAGACTGTTTACAATGAACTTTGATTTTTCCCAAATTTGATATCGTTTATTTGAAATATTTACAGTCAATCATATTTTTGTCATCAATCATATTTTTAGCGCTGCACTGTTTATATACTCTGTTTATAGGGCTTATGTTGGTTACCTTGAGTGCTCAGCTGCTGTCTGGATAATGCTCACTTTTACTATTTTTATTATTACCTCAGCAGTGCCACAGGCTGATATCTTCCATGCCACGCATGCTGCAAAAGGGGCCCAAACCAAGTACTGAGTACATATGCATGCTTATACTTTTCAGAGGTCCGATATTGTTCTATATACAATCCTTATT